AGTTAGATCCAGTGACAGGACCCAAAGAATGTTAGTTCAATACCCGGTTAAGACAGTGGAGAACTTTCAGAGGAAAATTAACAGAAGATAACTGATAACTGACATCCATTAGACATGGCACGTAGAACTAGAACAGTCTACCCCAGTGAGCGAAAAGGTTTCAGTTCGACATTCCAACCACCTGAAGAAGGCTGGATATTGTGATAAATATGGCAACGAAGATGAGGACAATAGTCTGAATAATGTAAATAGTGAACTCAGAGAGGATCTAACTCGTTGTGTCAATTATTAAAAGGTTTGCAAGGCAAATATTTTTTTTTGTTTAAACAACAAAAAACTAGAGTACCGAGGATCGACCTCACGAAATGGATCCATTAATCCCAGCCAGAAAAATCTGGTATTAATTATAAAGATAAAACTAAAAATCTGATATTAATTATAAGTTAGCTAAAACACCCTATTATTAAGTAATTAAAACAATGGGTTTTCTGCCTATAACCCATTAATGCCAACTGTCCCAAATATGAGACATTGTGCATTATTGGGTTAAACACTGATGAGCAATGTTATTACCGTTCTTCGGTGAGTCCTGGTTATGATGATAAACTACATCTGACAGCAAGAACCCTGATCGGGACATTGGAGATTTTGATGGGCGTGGAACCACTTTTTAATTGGTGTTGTTACCAGGTCCATCCTGATCCGAGGTAGTATCACCTGTTAGGGTCCCAGCTATAGGCAAATAGCGAACCCCCAAACAAAACACTATGAAAGTATAAAAATGCCTTTTATATGTAAAAAAAGGACCAACAATACATATTTATAGTAAAACTACTGTACACATGCCGGCAAAAATTGACAATAAGGAATATATTGTAAGTGATATATATTATACTGTAAGTAGTTTTCGAAAAATCGAAGTACACAATGAATAAAAGCGTTAATTAGATCCAGTGACAGAATCCAAAGTGTGTGAGTTCGATACCCGGTTAAGGCAGTGGAGAACTTGGAGAAGGGAATCAACAGGAGCTAACTGATAACTGACATCCATTAAACATGGCACGTGGAACTAGAACAGTCTACCCCAGTGAGCGAATTAAAGGGTTCACTTCGACATTCAAACCACCTGAAGGAGACCGGAGCATACAACGGCCGAAACGTTGTAATAAATATGGTGACAAAGATGAGGACAATAGTCCGAATAATGTAAATAGTGCACAATTTTATAATTTAAAATAGTTCGTTGTTAACGTTAATAATTGAAGAGTGTACAATTTATAAACACCTAAGGAAATATATCCGTATATTATCCTCATAAATGTTACATATTTACAACTAAAATTATGTTTACTGCTAAAAATCCCAATTTTGTGTAAACTTTGGAAGGTCTGAGTAATCCTTGACAGTCCATAGATTCAATCTGTAATTTCAGTGTCTGCTTATTTCTCGTCTTTGTAAGAGCAATGTATTATCAGATATTGTTTTAATTTATTTATTTTTTCTCAAGCTATTAATAAATTCCCCAACATAAAATAAAAACTGCATTAAAACTAATTATTTATTTGTATAAGCTTTTAGTTGCTATCATAGATAATATAAATGAAGAATGTAGTGTGAATAAAAAAACTCTTTCGATGACGAATGAATTATTACCAGAATTGTTCCCCCCCCACTTTTTTTCTAACTATAATTTTTAAAGTTTAAAATGAATTTCTAAAAATGAACAAAGCATTCTTGAAGATATATGTGGCGTATTATATATACAAACCCTTTTCGATAGCGATATCAGTACACGTCAACGGTTCCAAGTTAGCACGGCACCGGGTGGGTCATCATTATTTTGCACACTGCCCCTCAATTGTTATACACAAAAACGTACATCATATCATATCATACTTATTATAAAACCCAGGTTGTGTGTGTGTGTACGTGTGTGTGTGTGTGTGTGTGTGTGTTCGTTTATATATTGGATCGGATTTCCTACAATTTTCAACCGATTTCAACAAAACTTCACAGGACTACGTAAAATTACCTTGCGGTGGTTCTGACAGCGTCAAAATTTGGAAAAACAATTGTTTTTGCAAGAAATCAATTTGAAAACACGATTAAGAGGCTTTGATGAAAGGGGGACAACTCATATCGAGTTATACTTATTATAAAACCGAGGTTGGGTGTGTGTGTGTGTGTGTTCGTTTATATATGGGACCGGATTTTCTACATTTTTCAACCGATTTCAACAAAACTTCACTTTTTTTGGCAGGTAGTGTTTCTTATTGTCTTGCACACTTTTTCTTTATTTTTTACATTCAGAATGCTTTAAAAATTCCATTTACAAGACAATTGTTTATAATAAAATTCTATTCAATCGGTAGACTCATAAAGATTGAAAATTTGACCAATTCGTAAAAAAAAAACAACAAAAAACAAAAAAAAAACAAAAAAAACTAATTAAGACATGCGTGTCCGTCAACCTTAAACAGTAATCTTTGTCAATTTTATTTTTCAATCTTTATGATGGTCGATACTTGATCTATCTCTTACTGTTACATCCCCGAGCAACGCCGGGCTCTACTGCTAGTATATATATATATATATATATATATATATATATATATACATATATATATATATATATATTGAGAGAGAGAGAGAGAGAGAGAAGAGAGAGAGAGAGATGGCCAAAAATACATTTTTAAACCGACAATACACTGTAGTTGAATGTATATAACTGAGTTCAAATTATATTTAGTTAAAGCCATAAAATTTTGTTCAGATTGTTTAGATATCGGCATTAAATAACCTACAGAGGTTGGTATGCCGCTAAACAAAAACAACCAACCGTTTTACGCTAAATTAAACATAGCTACATCTGACATATGAAGGATTATGATCACTTTTATTTACTAATTGTTTACGAAACCAAATTGCTACGATTTGCTTTACTCTAATGTTTTGTGCCCAATATCCAAGCCTCTCAGTATTTTGTCTTTGAGGCGCAAAATTAACTAAAGTCAAATCCCATTTTTCCATGCAAGATCAATCCCTTGTGAGGGGGCTAGTTTCATTACCAGACGCATGAGATATTCACCATAAGGAAAAAAATAAAAATAAAAAGATGACTCTTTTTGGTTTCTAGTCTAACATGAGACTCCACTTAAAACTTGGCTTTCTGCCACATACCATCCAAGTGGGTGTGTGGATACATATAACCACCTTGGGTACCTCGAAGTGGTGTAATGGTTAGCAAGCTTGTCTCACTAGAACAATTACGTCTCGGTAGCGAGTTCGATCCTCATTGGGTGCCCCATACTTTTGACCCTGTGCCACATCTAAGCTACTCTTGGAAAATAACGACATAGAATCATCTCTCAGCCTTTTTGGCTTTGATTCGAAAAATTAACCAATGACCAATCCCAGGTAGCCCGTCTCTTCAGGCAATACCTTTCCTTTTCTAGTGTATTTAACTGACGCCGTAGGCGTGCCAACGAGATGGGAAGGCTGGAGGGTGCAATATTTTCCGTACCTGGTCCAATGTACGCGTGGTACTCCAACTTTAAACTCGGGCTTTTGCCAATTTCCGTTCAAGTGTTCGTTGAGATATAAATATTATTGCTTCTCAGCATTTTAGCTTTGAGGCGCAAAATTTATCAATTAAATCTAGTCCAAGTCCTTGGCGTCTGAAGTATTACCAAAATGGTAAGTGCTGAGGTCATTGCACTATTTTTGGTCTCTGATACCATGTACGCACCAACTTTAAACTCGGCCACATGCTAAATTCCATCCAAGTGATCGTTAAGCTAAGTATTATTGCTTCTCGGCATTTTGACTTGGAGGTGCAAAATTTATTAATTAGGTGTACTCACAGGTGGCGGAGGTCTCACCAGGTAATTCCAGATGGGTAAGATTAATTCTTGACGTCCCCAAAAGAGGAAGTGTTCAAGACGCTGGAATATTTTTAGAATCTGATCTCATCTGCACATGGGGCCCCAAATTTAAACTCGGCCTTGAACCACATTCTGTTAGTCTTGGGTATGACGATAAACTACATTCAGCTGCAATACCTCTGATTGGGAGATTTGAGGTTTTTGACGAGCGTGGAACCACCCCTTAATTACCGTTATTTCCCAGTCCACCCTGATCCGGAGTGGTAGCACCTGTTCGAGTCCCAGCTATGTGCAAATCGTGAACCCCCAAACAAAATCAAAACACTATGAATGTATAAAAATACATTTTTTATAGTAAAATTACCAGCAATATATATTTATAGTAGAATGATCAACAATACATTTTCTAACAAAATGACCAACAATACATTTTATCTGTAGTTGAAGGTATGCAATTTCATTCAAAATATTTAGATTTCGGCATTAAATAACCGATATAAGTTCATCAACCAAACAACAAACACGAAAGAATACTTTCACAACATTAATCCATATAATATCCTGCAATTTCTTTAAGAAATCAAACGTATTCCAAAATATAATTTCAACAAAATTACAACATAAAACACACAAATCACCGCCTCGTATAATTATATTCACACATACATGTATATTCACAAAAGCTGTGCATCATTTGCCATCTACTCAATTGGGAAAGTAGAATAACATATATCATATTTTTATTACTTCAAAGCTCCCCCAAAAATAAAAATTCAGAATTAAATAACTCACTGATATGCCATTAAACAAACAAACCATATTTCGTTTGAGTTGGCATTCGGATAAACACTCACACTCTTGTCTTTGAGGCAAAAAGATTAACTAATAACACTCTCCAAGCAATACCTCATCTTCGACGGAGGGTACTGACAGTTTCTCGCGCCCGGGGCGATTTCAAAGGGGATGTACCTAGTTTCACGTCTACAGCGGTACACATAGAACTCTTACCTTAAACTCGACCTTGTGCCACATTCAGCTGGCGATCAAGTTGGCCACTATGTTGTAACTGACATGATATTCGATATTGGCTGCTCTTAGGTCCCAGGAACTTCTACAATGGGAGTGAGTGCAGATAAGTGTTTTTTTTTCTTCCTTTCACGTTGTCCTTATCTCTTTCTCTCACCGTGTGTCCGTGTATGTGCGTAAGTAATAATGCTGTATAAAATGCATAAATCAAAGAGATTTTATCAAAGAAATCGACATTAATTCTATCAGTGCTTTTAATATTATTATCTGGTAGTTCAGTATTGCTTTATTTCGATATCATCGAAGTTTAACACTTTACTGGCGTACCAAGCGATATTTCGTATTATTTGCGATTTAATTGAATTTAATTTGAGATCATTTTGCAGAGCACGACTTTGGTTTAACCCCCGCTCTTAATTTCTTACCTTCTGTATATTAAATAGGACATTCGAAATCTAATCTTTATTTCCTGTCCCGCCATTACAGAAAAGATCCGATCTAAAGACCTAATAGTTTTGTGTGTGGGTTCATAAATATCTTACGTGATACGATCATTTGAACGATTTATTAGTTCAAATTCATTATCGGTTTTGCTGAATTAAAAGCAACCTTGATAAAAGAGAACTGGAAATTAATGACGCATAGACACGAAATTTATGAATAAGACGACAATGGCAATCGCGTCTTGGCGGTTTAAGGGGGGACAGCTATTCAGAGTCATTCCTTTCTAACTTCTCTATGGAGAAAAACGTAGTGCGCTGGCCCAACAGTTCTCTAGAATATAGACTAGTAAAGTCTTTAAAAAAGACAACTTTGAAATAATTTTGAAACTTAAAACTTTTATTTCGTTTCTGATGGTACTGAAGGTGTTTTGTTGGCCAACAGAAAAAAAAAATTGTAATTTTTCTCCCGTTATCTATATGTGGTGGGTATTCGAAGCAAACAACAAATTTCGTCCTCTTCATACTAATAATGGCTGTATCAGGTTTAAATTTACATTTTTGACGTCCTGTTGTATCGGGATGTATAGTTTATGCAATTCATTTTAGTTTTCTGTCGCGTTTATTTTTGTTTTTATCCCTCTCGTTTTACAGTAACTCTGTTGTAGAGTAGTTTTCAGTGGAGGCTTGGATTTCACTAAGTCGTCCTAAAAGAGTCCGACGTACAAAACATTAGGAACTTGAAATAAGAGCTAATGACGCAGCAATCTAGTTGTGATGGTTGATATTTCAATGTCCGATATCGACTGACTCGCTCAACAACACTGAGCCCAACTGGCGACCGCTACTACTACTACTTATTATGCGTGGGAGAGTCTATTAATAATAGAATAGGTACGTCAGGTATAACAAACTCACATTCTAATAATAGTACGTTTGTTCAGAAAGGAGATATGCTGTATGATCCTGAACGTAAATTTACTGTAGAGGATTCCTATTTTAATTAAAACTTCATTTTTCTAGTCGATATTATGTTTAAATCGCTGATTTTCTAATCGAGGCTTATTGGCACGAGGTCGAATGTTTGATCTCACTATTTCAAACTTATTACGATGAACGACTAATGCATTGAGTGTGTTGTTTTGTAAAAGATCCCTTTTTTGTTCATATAAACTATTATTTACATCCTTAGATGTAATACTTGTGACGTTCTTTCGCCTATGTATTTAGAGGGACATTCTAGAAGTCTGTTTCGTATATTCCTGAAGCAAGTTTAATGTTATTCTACCCAAGCGACGAGGTGGACTCGTCCGCACGTGTATAAATGTGAGAACGGAACGTGGAACGAGTGCAGACAACCAAAGCCGCATTTAGCGTGCGTTTCAGAAAATACAGTAGTAATCTGCAGCTGGTTTAATCTAAGAGTGATTGAACTCAACTATACACCTCTAGTAAAAATCTAAAGACCAGATACAGAAGGGAAAAAAAATAAATAAAATACTGTTACTTTAATCAAAAATATATTTGCGAAACATTTACATTTAATTAGAAAATGAAGTTCATCAACAAGGAAGTGAAAATTTTAAGCTTTTATTGATTAATATAAACAAATATTGAAAAAAAAAGTATTTTTTTGGTTGGTGATAAAGATAAAAACAAATTATTGGACAAAAATTTTATAACTCGTCAGTGTGTTCATAGTTTCAGGCGTGGATTAAATAGCAGGACAGACTGATCCATATAACCATGGTTAGTAACCAGTAAGGGAAGCAAAACTCTGAATTCAAACCAACCTGGAGTAGGTTGGCAAAGGGTGGACTAGCTTCTTATAGGAGGCAACGACCAACATGCAGCTCGGAGATGGGAAACTCCTATTAAAAAAGCCTTTGATTGTAGCATCATCTGGCATGTAGCATATATTACATCACTACATGGTATGGTGCTTCGATGATGATAGTATGCATTGCAGGTAAGTGTCTATTGGCCACTTTGAACAATTCACTTGTACAGGTTATTCAGTAAAAACTTAGAAGTTATTGAACACTCAACTGTCAAAAGGGTTAAAGATATAAAATACTGTTACTTTAATCAAAATATATTTGCGAAACATTTCCATTTAATTAGAAAATGTAGTTTATCAACAAACAAGTGAAAATGTTAAGCTTTTAATTGATTAATTTAAACAAACATTGAAAAAAGGAGTTTTTGGTTGGTCATAAAGAAATTTTTTTTCACACCATGTGTAAAAAAAACAAATTACTGGAGAAAAATTTTAGAACTAGTCGTTGTGCTGATAGCTTCAGGCGTGTAGACATCTACGTAGCTCATTTCCAGTATTAAATTTCAGATTTTAAAATGGCTAAGGGTAAAATTTGAACAAAGTTCGAACAGGGCAGGAGATTGTTGAACCTCAAAGACGTGGTCTTTCTTAACGAGCCATTGCAAATGAAATTGGCCGTAGCAGACTGTCATTGCTAACTTCATTAAAAATCCAGATGCGTATGCTTCTAAAAAATCAAGCTGTCGCCCCCAATAAAATCTCACCATTAGACAGACACATTAAGCGAGAAGTTAAGAGAGATTCAAGCCTAACATCAAATCAGATAAAAGCGAATACAGATGCTGATTGCAGCTCTCGAACAATTCGACAGCATTTAAATGCGAAAGAGTTTAAGAACTTGAAAAGGCTACAGAGGCCTCGCCTTCTTCTTCGCTATAAAACCTCCCATTTACAATTTGCTTCGGATTATAAAACTTTGGATGTGGATAAATGGAAGAAAATGTTGTTTTCAGACGAGAAAAAATTCAGTCTTCGTGACCCAGACGGTTTTCAGCGTTACTGGCATGCAAAAGATGTTTCAAAAGAAATTTTCTCAACATGATACAGTGGACGTGGATCAAATATGGTCTGGGGTTCATTTTCGAACAATGGAACTCTTGTGTTACAGGAGGTAAAAAGTCGCCAAACACCTGATAGTTACATTGACATATTAAGAAAGGCATCGCTAATTACTGAAGGCCCCCATCTATGTGGAGAAAACTGGATTTTCCAGATGGACAATGCCGTAATCCACAACGCTCTCCAGATCGAAATCCAATCGAGAATGTTTGGGGTTGGATGGTATTGTGAGACCGGAAACTACCTACACAATAGACTCTTCAAGGCCTATATTAAGTAGGCGACATAGCACTCTAGAGAGTGACAGAGAGTGACATAGAGAGAGACAGTGAGAGCCGCGTACGACTACCAGTATTGGACACTAACATATAGTAAACTCCGCTTACACTATCTCTCTAATCTGTTGTTAATATATCTTTCTTACATCTAATCCGTGTTCCGTGTTTTCCTTCTGTGGTCCCGAATTTGGCCCCACATCAGTGGCGATGAGGATTCTAGAAACGCACTCACGGCGAAACCTAAATACCTTACCAGTTCCACATCTGGGTCGACGAAGAATTCGAGAAACGCATTCACGTCGAAAACTTCAATACCTTGCCAGTCCCACAACAGTGGCGACAGAAAGATTCGAGAATTTCGTTCTCACCATATCAATAGCGACAGTACTCGAAAAATACACAAACTCCACGCGTTCCCACAGTAGTGTTGAACGGGAAATTATTCTGGTATTACTACGTTAGCGATTTAAAAGCTAAACACCCAGCGTCTACATATATTCCAATACCAAACATCAGTGACGAGCAGTGTTTCGACATCTACGGAATATTAAAGTCTGTCCAAATAACATTACGAGAACGATTTCTTACACACTCACACACAGAAAAAAAAAACAGTTTGTCATAAAGCAAACTGACAATACAAGAGCAAGTACTACCATTGTACTCAAGTTTTCGGAAAAAACTATCGAAATTTTTTTTATGTAACTGAGTTGAACTCGGGCATAAAATTATTCTCCCCTCAAATTCCCTGAGGTGAGTTTTCTCTTTTTATAACTCTATAGAAAAAAAATACATAAGTGTGGTGAAAATTTATTCAATTACATCAAAATTAACGGAACCACGGCAAGCAAAGTTAAAAAAAAAAAACCGTATCGCCTCATAGGAAATATTTCAATCCTGGCGATAGGGTCTTTTTCAAGGCGTACAAGAACAATATGTCATTCTGGGAAGTGGGCACCATAAAGCAGAGAATTGGCGAATTGGTATATATGATCCAAGGACCGAAAAACATTCACAAACGCCATTGGAACCAGCTCAGAAAATGCCGTTTGAAGGAATCGGAGGAATCACTACAAAATAACTGTGAAGAGCCGATCGACGTAATTTTCGATCACTTCGATCTCGACATACTCCAAGTCTCCCCTGAAGTGCGACGCTCAGGAAGGAAAAGGAAAATTACTCAACCGCTAGACGTAAATCCCAAGAGGAAAAAGTATTAACAGTTTTATTTTTTCTCTCCTTTTCAAAAAGAAAACTCTTTGGAAGGGGGGTATTGTGAGACCGGAAACTACCTACACAATAGACTCTTCTAGGCCTATATTAAGTAGGCGACATAGCACTCTAGACAGTGACACAGAGAGACAATGAGAGCCGCGTACGACTACCAGTATTGGACACTAACATATAGTAAGCTCTGCTTACACTATCTCTCTAATCTGTTGTTAATATATCTTTCTTACATCTAATCCGTGTTCCGTGTTCCGTGTTTTCCTTCTGTGGTCCCAACTTTGGCCCCACATCAGATGGCAAAGGAGGTTTATAAACATGGATCGCA